GGGGATGCTCACAACACAACTAGCAACACATGAATCATTCATGATGATTACATAATTGAAGAGCTCACTTGATGGAAAGCCTTTTTTCAATGAGCCTATTTCGGTCACAAGCTCATGTTCACACGGAGTTCACTCCCGAGCCAGTTGTACGATAGGGCTTCAATATGAAGCTCCCTCCCCTATAAGCGGATCCCCAAGGTCCAGCTCTACCGCAGAGTTTCATGCGATAAACGCAGAGTCTCTGCGTTTATCACATGAGACGTTACAAATATTAGTGAAGAATCCTCTACACAAGACACGCGGCATATCACTTCTAAACGAGGAAATAGCGAGGCGTAACTATTTAGTACGGCCAGCTCTCTCTGAGACTGTCGGCATCTCTCTGCTGCTAGTGCCGCTAGCAGCTAGCCACAACCACAGCTAAATCCCGACTTGACTCTTGCCATCTCTTCCTCGCAGGATGAACGTCTAGGTCTAAAAGGGACCCTTTAAAAGGGTTTTATGATGACGTATTCGGTTGACTGGTGCAATATTGCCATTATTAATATTGACATTGACTGGTGTAATATTCGCCGCGAATAACTCGCGTGACGCACACGCGCGGTATAGAGCGAAATGGTGTCACTGCATAACACATTGTTTTTTACGCATGGAACAATGACTAATTCTGAATAATGCACTCGTGAAACGCGTGAATCACGCGCTTCACGGGTGCATTTTCATAGCACGAGGGGTTGAGCTTGCTTGTTGAGCACACATCACCTGGTGATTATCATCAGATGATATCAGACAACCAAAGTTGAGACGTCCCACTCGGTACACTCATTTCAACGGTGAGCTACGATAGATATATTCAGCGAATTTGTGCTTCCCTTCATTGAGTTTGAAATCGAGACGGTGAAGTTGTACGTCACGGTGACGTTGTCACTGCTACTTTTCTCTCTTTCATTTGGCGGAAGTGAGTCTGGCTTTCATAAGGATACTCCACATGCAAAGTACTCCTCGACAGGCTCCTCTACTGCCACCTATTCAACGCTCACTGTTCATTGTAGCACTGAGTGCTAAGCACTTCCATCCATCACAATCTAAAGGATCATCCAGTCGATTGCACGCTATTGCGACTGTCACGTGAATGGCTGCGCGTCCGTAGAGCCTGGCCATGCGAGTCACGATGAGCATGATCGTGAAGCTCATTTCAAAGCTGACCGAAAGCCTCCTAACATCATTGGTTTCCTGCCTGACTCTTTTATGAGCGTCGAGTTGACTGGAATTACTTATTCGAGTATCACAGTAATTTTATGACTCCGTTCACCATCTCGATAATGAACATCCTCCTCGTCGCCCTATTGATACATGGTGGGGCATATGCCTTCAAAATGGGCAACGTTCGTATGCAGATGAAGACGACACATTTCTGTAATCTTGACTTGAGGGACGTCAAAGGGAACCCAATGGGATGTCACATCTCCAAGGCTATGGAGACTGAAGGGCTGGTTCTACCTGGTATGGATGATAACAAGTCGTTCACCGTTCATCGAGACATCTTCATCGCCAAGGACGGTCAAGCAGTGGTTCAAGCAGCGCCAAGTCACCCGTACCTGTATCTCTTCATGGTCCAGAACGAGACGCACTTCAGCACCTCCCAATTCTTCAATAAACAGTCGTTCCTCATAAACCAGGGAACCAGGAAAATGGATGATATGCCCAATTCTCGCAGGCTCAATGCCAATCGTACGCTCGAGGATGATGGTTGGATCTATAAAGGCTTGATAGATGACGGTGAACGCAAGCTGAACATGTGGTCCAGAAGTGGCGTAGAAGGTGTTGATCCCAAATCGGGTCTCAACTTCACTGCCCTCGCTCAGACTGGTGCGATCAGTAACAGTTGGGTTCTCTATCTTGACGAGAATCACAAGCAGATGGTGGATCTCTTGGGTATCAATACCTTCGATGAAAAAATCTATCTCGAGTCCAAGGTCACTTATTGGGAAGATCTCGACGATGCATTAACTTTGGATGATGCCATAAAGGAGATTCACGCGGCGTACGGCATAGTCCAGAGCTACAATCAAGCAGCAGCAAAAGAGGAGGCGCCACAACTAGATGT